CAGCAGACGGATACGACGTGACGGTCGGTGTAAGCAGGCTTTGGATCCGTAAACAGCCAATAGTGTACGTACAATATCGGAGCTGACCAGGATGGCCGCACCTATTTTCGTACCAAGCCACCGAGCTTCGCTTCAACCGCGACGGAAACGGCTACACAGCGACATGGCGTCTGCACCTACTGAACAGTTGTATCTCGTAATGCGATAGCGAAACTGATACCAGTCCTCGATCACGTAAAGGCACCGGAAATGGTCTCGTAGGGTGGGGACCAGGAGATGCATTTGGTTATCAAGCTTCGCTCAAGCTCGGCTTTGCTTGTTTATCATCTTAGACGTGGGATGATCTGTGCCATGTCATGGTGGCTTCGCTTATCCTCGTGTTTGATTAGCTGCGCGGATGAGCTCCGAGGTGTGCACCCCAGAAAGAGCCAGGATGACGCACGGCTATCTCAGAAGCTTTCGATCATCTCCCAGTCTTGCGCGAAAAGAGTCAGGGCCAAAGATTGCACTTCACTAGCAAAAGATGCAGTTCAATCGGTTGTCAAAGTTAATACATTATGCATTATTGGCAGAGATACGACGCGGTGAGGCATCTGCCCTATCATCATCACACGCTAGAAGACCTCGCATTCATCCATAGATCTAATTCCGGAAAGAAATCCATCGCTTCGTCACCCACGATCCTGCTTTCCACCCACGCCTAATTGATCACGGAGGTCGGGGTTAATCTTCGCCGTTAAGTACGACGAAAATTGACCGCTTTGTCGGAACGTCTTCACCCAAGCTGGAGGTGGCGCTTTCAACGACACCTTGTTCGCTTCTTGTCGACCTGCACCAGTGCCTGGTGTCTTCAAGATACTGCGGGGCTGGTATGCTTGTTGGTCCCGCTTCTCATCATCGCGCCGTACAGGCGTGTCCGACTTTTCTTTCACGCTGCGCCATTCCATGCCTAGAGCGGCTGGTATTGCAAGGCAAGCGATGATGAGTGCCGCAAAGAATGTCCCATGAGTCAGCGAGTCGTTGTAGGCTGCCAGTATCATTCGTTTGATTGCTGGAGTAAAACCCGTCGTCAGGTCTGTGGCTCCTGCGGCTAAGATGCGTTGAGGATTTAGACCTCCGATTCGTTCCAGGCCGGCAGAGAACTTGTCTATGTAGAGGTTTTGTCCCACAGCTGTGAAGACTGCTCCACCGAGCGTCTGGAAAAGCGAGAGGACTGCCGTACCAATGGGAACATCGGGTTTATCTAGCACGGTTTGTACGGCTATATTTGGGTGCTGCATGGTGCAACCGACCCCAAAGCCTGTAACTATCTGGGTCCCGATCCAGATACTGTTGTTGGTATCCACAGACCATGTGGTGATGAGGCCGGCACCAATGGCCATGAACAGAGAGCCGAGAATCATGAAAGGAGTGTAGTATCCGATGCGCTGTACAAACCCGCCAGACATGATCGAGCCGACGACAACTGAGAGCACAAGGGGAATGGTGTTGATACCGGATTGCATGGCCGAGGCACCTTTGATGGCCTGGAACCAGAGAGGGATGTAAATGGACACCGTGAGCATGGTCGCGCCTACGCAGAACTGTGAGGCACTTCCAAATGCGACGCTCCTCTGGAAGACGATGCGTGCTGGCAACGTCGCCGTGGTGTTTCGAGTAACGAATTGCCAAAATATGAAGGCTATTAGAAGAATTATAAAGGCGATGAGAAGCACAACGATACGTGGTGAGTTCCAACGGTACTCCGCTGCACCCCACTCTAAGGCCAACAAGAGACAGGTGATCGATGGAAGGAACAACGCGGTACCCAGCGGGTCCAGATGTTTTATCGTCTCTCCCCATGTCTCGAATTGCGGCTTCTTTTCTTCGAGGTTTAGCAAAAAGCATACTGCAAGTATGGTAATGCCACCGAGTGGTAGGTTGATGTAAAAGCACCACCTGCGAGGTATGAAGTCAGTATATGTCTCACATGCGATTCGTCTAAGCGTATTACTGACCTCCAAGTTGCGCTGCTGCTGGTGAACGCTCCGCCTAACAAGGGACCAGCCACACTTGCAACGCCGAAGCATGCGCCAAAGAGACCCTGCAGCATGGGCCGCTTGGCAAGCGGCACTGTGTTGAGCATGATCAAGATCGCACCAGTGAAGATACCACTACTTCCTAGGCCTGCAATAGCGCGTCCAACGATGAGCATGTTGCTGCTGTGTGCTGCACCACAAACAATGCTCCCCAACTCAAAAAGAAAAATGCCGGATAGGAAGACTGGTTTTGTGGGAAAGAAGGTGTATATCCTTCCGTATAGCAGGATGAAGCCGGCTGCTGTGAGCATGTACGCACTACCGTACCATCCAATGTCGCCAATGCTGTCGAATTCGTTTGTTATGGCAGGTATCGCTGGGCCGATGATGGTCCTGTCGAGAGCGACTAGGAAGATCGAGATGTATAGTGACAGCATTATGACTACTGTTTTTGCTGTAGATGGGTATGGAGATGGCGTCGTCTTCACTCCTCTTTGCCGTTCGATGTCCGCTACTATCGGTGGGCTGAGAGGCTCATCGTTCGCCGAACTCGCGTCCCAAAGATGACTTTTGTGGAGGTTTCTGTGCATGTTTTTCAGTGGTGGACTGAGAGGCGAGTCCATAACGTCGTCGTCGAATTTGAAGCTTGTGGGGGTTGAATAATTTGAGGCCTGGTATGGATCCATTATCACTGGCACATGGTCGCCGTCCTCGGATGTTGAAACTCTTCTTATCGTGTTGCGGTGTCCGGCTCCGTTCGCTTCGTTGGCCTCATTCAGCCGCAGTATTCCCTCTAACGCCATTAGAGTGCTTTCCCGAAGGAAGGGTCGAATTTCGTGTAGATCTTCTCGTAAGTTATTGGTAGTGTATGAAGTAGCGACTTCTCGTCTCTGCTGATATGGTTTTGACTGTGCCAGATCTTCTTCTCTTGCGTTGTAAGAGATATACGCGGCGGTGCCTTCTTGTGCTTCGGTGTGTGCTCGTTCAAACGCCGTTTCGCAGTTATCGGCCAAATCTTGGAGGATATTAGAGATCAGGTCGCGTTCTTCGGCATCGGTGTGTCCGTGCCATCTCACTTCTGTGAGCTCGTGAGTGGACGGACGAGACGATAGCGTTGATATGATGGAATAGGCTGGGCGCGCCCCTCGGAACTTCGGTATATACGGAGGAGGTGCCGCCATTGTCCCAATTCGACTGTAAGCCGTGGTTATCAATCCGGATATATGGGGCGCGTGCGCTGAAGCCTGATATATTGCTTGCAGCCAAATGTACGAGAGGTCCAAGGTGATGAGCGAGTAACAAGATTCAGAGATATACGGCTATGGGCTATAGGGGTGAAGAGTATTATAGGCATCAGTATGCTTCAGTTGTTCGCATTAACAGTCAAAACAAGAAGCACATCTCAGTAACACATCTAGTAGACCAAGAAACATTCCGCAGTCGCATCCGCAGCACGACCAGCAAAGCGCAACGGTGCAGTAAGACGGCGATGACTTCTGACGAATACGACGTCTTTCTCACACACCATCCACAACCTCCAAAAGCATCGGAGCGCCATCTTCTAAAACACCGACGTTGTACGGCTTGGCTCTACGCCACACACTTTTCTTGCTCATCCGATGGCGTCTATTAATAAGAGTCTAATGGACCCTGAGCTGTCAGAGGTGGGTAGCCTCACTATCCTGCATGCTTGCACTGCAGTAACTCTCGTGTTCTGTGCAAGATTATGCAAAGTCAGCCAGCGATAGATGATCGGTGCTCGGTGATGACGCTGGGGAGCCGAGCGGTATTGCCAGATCACTGATCTCTGCTGAGACAACCTGAGCGACATTTGAGACGCCTGATGAATCGGTTCCTTTGCAAGGTGAATATGATGCTAGGAATGGAACATGATGTGAAGTGACGTCTCAGCTTTTCCGAAAAGCTGGTGGACGATGTTGGCGATGAGAAAGTGGAGAAAAAGAAAGAGGGCGAGGCTTAGCGTGAGAGGAGGTACAGTCAGCGTGATATCCTATACGCATCATCCGATCGCGATGCCTATTTGCTTGTCCCGACCAGAGCAAAGTCATCATGCAATCGTTGCAGGAGGTCTCTAATTGTAAGTACAAAGTGGCCATGGTTCGTCATTCAGATAATCCAGTCTCCACAGTGCTCTCATACTCTAGCTGCACATCGACCTGGATCTTTCGCGCAGCGCATCGTCATGACCTCATCGTTTGGGTCTGACTCCGCGCGAAATACGTATACTTTCAACTGACCATTTCGGATGACGAAGCTTCGCCTCCTAAAGCAGAGAAGTTCTAGATGCGAAACTTCAATGTGGAGGATCCCCATGATCTTCTCAAGGGGGCCCACTTGAGGCAAACAAGCCCTACCCGTAGTGCCCTCAATGCATACTCACCAAAAGACGCAGGTACAGTTTCAAAGACACCTAGCTTTGCGAACTTGCAACTAGTTTGCGGGGTGCATTGATGTTCAACAGGGACACAGTGGAGATTGCCGCAAAAGCAAACGGCGCCCCTGAACCAAGAATGGCAAGAAAGATTGGCAAAAGCAAAATCGGGACGACGAGCCTATGCTGCGACATGACGCAGGGTAAAGTATTTTACAGTGGGTTCACGATAGACATCAAAAAGGGGGGTACAGCTCACTTGTCATCCTTTGAGTTGATGCAGGTGCCATGATGAACAGGCTGTGAGATCACAACATCGAACACGTAATGAAAACAGTGATTCCGGTATCAGATACGAAGAGAACCATATCATTGGATGGACAGCTTACGAGTTGGGGAATTCCCTAACAACGTGATGACAGCTAAGTCATTGGAGGAGAGTACATGTTTCCTAATGAGCGTCCTTCCGTCCTTCAAATGATCTTTAATATGCGCCAGATACCCTTTCATCACCATCTTGTCTCACCACAAGAGAGTGTGCCGGATTGCGGTATCATTGCCGGTGCCATGAGAACAGAGAGGCCCACTGATCACTGAGGGTGATCTTCGTCCCACTCAGCTACCTTGTCGTCATATAGTCCTGAGATGTCTTCGAAGCACAAGATGAGATGTTTGTTGCACATTGCAACTGTTCCGTAAACCTCGAACTCTTTCTCTGTCATGTCGGAAAGCGTGAAGACTTTCTTGGTGTCTGAGGCGGCTACACGGAGACACTTGACCATGCCGCGTTCGAGCATGTTGGTCCTCAAGACGGGCCTTTCCAAGGGGTCGGCAAGAGGCCAGCTCTCGCTGGACAACTTGTGCTCATCCAGAGCCTTCTGGGCGCATTCGATGAGGGCTTGTTGGCATTGTGTGAACCTGACGTCCTTAAGCGGGGTCGTACCGATGGAAGACTGGCTTGCGATTGGAGTTGGGTCAACCCCGTACTGCTTGTTGCACGCTAAAAGGTCTTGTTGAAGTGTATACTCTCTGTACCTCGCCTGCGGTTCTTGGGGGTCGTTTGCGGAGAGGACAAAGGTGTTAGCATCTAAGTTGTCCATAGCGGTTTGTTCATCGCTCAAGGAATCTTGTCGAGCAGCCTGGGATGAATCAGTAATCATCATCCTTGAAGTCGAAAGAACTGCTGACTGCAGGAACAAAAGTGGCCGCGGATGCATGCGCTTCAGACGCAGCGTTGGCGGTCTGCTAAAGTATGAGTGTCAGAATGAAACCACAAGATAGTAGATAGCGAAGTCATACCAATGATGCAGTGTTGATAAGAGGGACTATGCTTGCAGTGGCGGCAATGAACACATAGAAGAGTACGAGAAAGTGTTGAAAGAACATGGTAGGGTATGATGAAGAGCTGTTGCTGGTAACTTCCGTGCGAGGATTGTAGTTGCTGGACGTGGTTGTAAAGTGGATCGAATGAAGGCTTGAAGTGGAAATGTGGGTTGGCAATCACTTATGGTCGAACTAGACTTCATTCTTATAGGAACTCTTATCTACTGGCCCCATCTTTCGGAATTCGAGACCCGTGAAGTGAGAGTCTGGGTCGAATGAACTCGTATCGTTCGTAGCTGTAATCTTCTCGCTTCCCCAATCGATCATCCGCCCCAATGGAGGTTCGTCGAAGGGGCTTATAGTACAGCGGGCGAGTACGGACTTGGATATGCCTTGGTTCTCGATCAGGACTAGTCAACATGTAGTGGTAATCACACACGAATCAGATCGCCTTTCGTTGTCTAAACGCGGTCGGGGTCTCGGTCGCTTTAAGGCTGACGTATCATAACGATTGGATTTATGAGAATAACCGATCATTGTACTTGTGCTGAAGCAGAGCAGTGCCTGAGATAATTAATGACAGCAGACATGACAGCAGACATGACAGCTACATTGATGCGAATCTCATCACTGATGAAGGTGAAGGTGAAGTTTATCGACAGAAACGGCTTAGAGGGCTAGAACGATTGCGTCAAGTCTGCTTGTTGGAGATACCGGGTTTTCGGACAGACAAAAAATGATTACGTGTTACTCCGACGGTGGAGGTGGCGACGACCGCATATCTCCAGATTACCCGATGATGTACTTGTAACAAGTTGAACATGTAATAGTATGCGAATCCTGTAGGCTCGATTATCTCAAGCACGTATTTGCCCTGTCGGTTTCTCATCAAACTTAGTACATGTTCCAAAACATGTACAGATTATTGCCTGATGAGCTACTCGTGAAGCAGGACTTGAGCAAAGCTTGGGAATATTTCTCAGAGATGACGATACGGTTCGGCACTCCAAACCTGATTGAAGTACCCTCCATATCAAGAGAGACACTCTCATCCATCTTCGATATGTGCTTCTCGACATAACAAGAAAGGCTAGTCAGAGAAGGGAGGCTAGTTCTCTTGGTGCCTAGAAAGCCCTTTAGCACTGTCGTCGTATCTAGTCATAGTGGATGGACCCCTCAGGGAGAGAGACACTGAGTAGACAGCCAACAATAATGTTTCGTTAGCTCTCAAGCTCGTGATCGTGACGTGTGGTTGAAGATTGTCCTTGGTCGATCAGATCGACTAATACCTGGGTAATGTGTTGACGTTCTAACCAGATAGATAATGTTCGTTGGAAGAGCTCGCAAGTATATGAACACTCGCTGAGTAACGTACTAGTGGTGGTTTTCTTCAACATCTACTTTGAATCCCGTCCTACTCTTACCAAGACAAGGGGGTAGCGACGCAAGTTCCACTCCATCAATACTTGGTCAATACCTCTCCAACCGTAAAGTCGTTTCTCACTAGTCTTACTGCGCGTATAGAAGCTTTCTATCATGCGACTCTTTGCGTGGATACAAGCCATCTTTCACGTCTTCGATGTCGTCAATGCATCTACGAGCGTCACTTGGTCAAATCTCACTTCACAAGGACTCGAATTCTCAGAGGCGGACCGCGATAACCTGGATTGTGCACACAATCCTTATTGTAACTTCAATGAAGATCAGGGTACACATGAATGGATAAGTGGTTGTCCAGGCCTTCCTAGGATCACCGAAGAGCTTTGGAGAAGACATAGGCACGTCGGCGCGAAGTTTTTGAGGAAACACTTCCGGACCTACAAGAGACTACAGGGGAGCAAATATAAGCTTGCTTCCGACGAGTTGACGTTTCCTGCATATATGGCAAAGCGATACGCCCCCAGTGTGCCACCTAGTAGCATGCTCTGCGATGGCCTCGGCATGTGCAAAGTGAGTACTCTACTTCGGATTTGGAGTCTACGTGCGCTAATGGCACTATTAGTCCCCAAGTTGCAATGATATTGGTATGAACAACACTGCTGATGAAAGACGGGCAGCCATGTTGTTCTTCGAATTTGTTTCTGGACTCGATCATTCATTTCACATCAGGAGCGAAGCGACCCAGGACCACTACAGACACATCGTCGAGGACTTAGATCGGCTCACAGCAATGTTCACGTATGCAGATGAGCAGCAGGATGCAGCAGTCAAGAAGGAGGAGAAAAGGCAGAAACGCATACAACAAATGGAACTGGCTTTTAGCATCATCACAGCTGTCTTCCAACTGTTTACCACGGCTGCCAACATCCTAAATTATAGGCCAGGAACTCTTACAGCTATGTTCAACAAGTTCCCTAGAGCACAAAGTCTTGCCAACAAATGGCAGCGGGGTCTAAGTGCGATGAGTAACAAATTCCCAAACGCTAGCAGGCTTGCAAAATTTGCGAGCCGCAGGAAACCCGGCGATGGCCTACTTCGCGAAAAGTCAATCGAAAATTCACAGAGTAAGTTTTGATTAAAGTGCGAAGCATCTGTCTAACACAAGATAGAGCTGTGGACAATTACCAGCGGAGGTTGGCTAGGTATGCAAGGTTTGACCAAGGAAGTGGTCAAGGAGATCAACCACAAGAAGGATCTGTAAGTCAGAGCCGATATACATGCCCGAGAAGAAACGCTAATGACACGCAGCCACGGGTTCGAAAAGACTCTGGACTCTGTACGTGCGGCTTTGGTTGAGCTCGACACCTTTGCAGTTGACGAAGCGCTGGAAGGGATGGCACTCCTTTCCTTGGGCTACGAAACGCACAATGGCCATAACATCGTCGATCTATTCGAGAAGGACTTTTTCTTTGGTGCCAACGTTTACTTTCGGGCCTGGATTCAATTTGTAATTGGGATGAAGTCCTACGCTACCATCATAAGCGCCCTTTGGTATGTGCTGCATTTCCAACCACATTTTGTGAGTAGTGGCTAATTTTGACAGGAAAATTGAGGGCGTATACATCGTTGAGAGTCTTACTCCTTCTGGTCAAAACTGCGACCAAGACAACCGGGGACCAAGGTCCAACAAAGTGTGCCTTGAAGAACGTCCCAACAGATCATACTGGACTTACGCAATGTCCAACTACGACGATAAGAAGACACGAAGTCCTCCGGGATGGGAATTTCTCACAAGCGAAGAAGGATTTCATGGTCTGTACGAGACTGACGTAGTTAGATCCGCGCTTTGGCGAGGGGAGGTATGGTATCCGCATCGTGACAAGCAAGAGGAACTCGGATGTCGCGACGAGCCTACAGCTCCTGAACCACCGGAGGTATATGCTGAAGGGGTGAACGCCACAAGCCCATCTGAGTTGAACCCCACGAATGATCTTGCCCCAGGAGCGATACCACATCTGACAGATTACGGCAACGTTCCCGATGGCTTTGACATTCCGATATGTCACAGCTGGCTAGGCGAGGCAATCTCCGACGTGAACAGCACGAAGAACAACAACGCTCCTTGCCAATGCGATGGTCCCAACTCGACAGATGCAACATCCTGGGACCAACCTACCAACTGGACCTTCGCATACACAAAGAAGTTCATCAAGGACGGCGGGATGTATAACTTTGACAACTACGGGAAGAAGTGCAAAAGCTGCGAAAAGTTGAGCACGAGTTGGAAGGCGTTACTGAGACTTGATGAAGAGGAGGAGCCAGCGAAGCACATGAAGAAGGCTTGGAATGGCCGCTGCGACACCAAACCGCATAAGTCTCACCCACTAGGGCAACCGCAACTCAGCAATCCGCCAAAGACAAGTTCATCAGCTTCATCTATACCTAACTCTTGCACCCCAACACCCACCCGAGAGCCCATCGTCCAAGCTACATCTGAATTCGTCGCTCATGAAACACGATACCCTAAGAATACTCCCAAGAACATAACGCGACAGGGCGAGTGCAACGGACCATACTGCATCGTCGACACGGTTTACGTGATCCACGAGCAGAACTATGGATACAATGTTGACTCATCTGTCCGAGCCAGCGAACACGGCTGCTACGCTGGTGATGACTGGTGTTTTGAGCAATCAGCACATGACATTTGCGAGTACCCTGATGGGGACGAGATCTCAGATGAGGACGAAGAAGAGGAGGAAGAAGAGGTCGGCGAAGACGAAGACGAATACGCGGACTTCATTCAAGACGACAAACCTCAAAACGGCACCACCCCAGGCGACAAAGGCCCAGATGGCAAAATCTCAGGTGGTGAGACAGCAAAAGACAAGGAACCCACTCCCGAAAAAGACGGGAACATGAAGAAATTTGAAGAGGAACACAATCGCCAGAATCGGCGACAGGATTGTATCTGCGGTGGAAATGGTAAAGCAGGTCAACACGGCATCTCGTGCTTCGATAAGGGCGTCACATCTAGGACGACGACTGTCAAGGGCAGGATGAAGCAGACACACACTCCTGGCAGTTCTGCAACTGGTGCGCCAAACGCTTTTGGTGGCGGAGCCATACCTACGACCCAAGCAGCTCTTCGCATCAAGACTGTGTACGATGTCGGTGGTGAGGCCGCACCCATGACGCAACCCACCCTTCGCATCAAAACTGTATACGAAACCATGAAACGAGACGTAACACTCCAAGCGACGCCAGAAGTGTCGAGTCTTGCTACTCCGACCGTGGCTCCAGTGTTTCTTCCTAGCAGCTATGGTTCGCTCGCTTCTCACTCGAGGGTGACGATGGGCTGAGTTGCCTTTTGTGTGTACGTGCGTGTATGGTGAGGGTGCAGGACAAATTCGCTTATCGGGGAATGGTTTGAAGGGCCAATTTGGTGGGAGTGTGGATGGGACGAGCTCGCTTACATTTACGGTTCCCAGCTTTCTATTATTGGGGAGAGCTGGAACTGTATTTTCTATTCGCACTGTCAGTGGTGAGGGATGGAAAAGGGTAAGGGATAAAATCGACTTATTCTTGATATCAATATCCAAGTCCAGAAACTCGCGTTTGTCTTGTAGTCGTCTTCAGGACATGATCGTGATCAGTGTGGTGTTGGAGGGGAATGTATTTCGCCCACCCATCTTAAAATTCGCAGTGCAAAACCAGCCAACTGTTTTCGACAACCCTACGCGGATCACCTATCATTATTGTCCCATGGAGCGAACGCATCAGAAAGAGAAGTGGTCCAGACATAGCGACAATAAGATAAAAAGCTGGTGTATATTGAACTCGACATTATGCTTTGCGATAAAAGTAATATGAAACGCCCCAGCACTTGGCGACGTTTGACTTGAGAAAAGCAAAGGGAACTGCAAATTTGACCAGCAAAAAGGCTGCATGCGAAAAGCAGTAGTAAGTAAGGGTATCATCGCTGTCGTGTGAGGGCGAAGTAACGAGACGAAGAAACGATATTAGCAGTAAAGACGCAAAGAGACCATTACCAAACACCAGACATGCCGAGAAGGAAACTTCGCAACGGCAAACAGCTCAGTCGTCCGTAGCATTCATCTTACCCATTTCAAGGCCGACTTCCTCAGTCTTCATACGCTCACCATCTGGCCCTCTGCGTCCGCCTCCCACAAAGCCCCAAAGGCCGACTGCAGCCACAGCCCAAGCAATGACCACAAAAGGCACCATGACGGCACGACCGGCAACCTCAACTGCGCATTGCTTACTGTAATCCTCTCGCACCATGGCAGCACCTCCAACATCTTGCAGTTCGCACGCCCAAGTCTCGAGATCGAAAGTACCAAAGTTATAGCGAAAGAAGGTCTCTTGGGTTGCAGCTGTATCGTTCATGCGAGAAGCGCGGAAGTTGACGAAGCCCTCGCGGAAATGCGAGGTGTTTTTGTGGGTGACGAAGATGGAGACTAGAGCGAAGAGAACGAGGATGGCGTTGGTGATGTGCAGGAACATTATGTTGCGACGGAAGGCGTATGATTGTGTCTATCGAGTCATTAGCATTAGTCACCTCTACTATATAGCAACAGTGCGTACCCGCTTGCCCATTTTCCAGTCCGTGACTACGAGTCCGAGGTGTGCTGCAGCCAGACATATACTAAGGGTAGCAGCGATAATGGCCAACTTGGCTGGTATTGCGTAGAGCATTCTCGGTAGAGCGGCCATAATGATGGCGTCGCCTGGCTCGCCATCTTTTCTTGTGGTTTGGAAGGTGAATCCCGTCCGACGGTTGTCTTCGATGAAGCTGTAGGTCAACGCCTTGAGCGTGATGACTGGAATGGCGATTATGAGTAACAAGGAAAGGAAGACACTATACAGTAGCCTTGCAATACGATGATGCGGGCATGAACTAGTATTGAGTGGCTGATTGAAAACTGGTGGGACATTTTTCTTGGATTGGAAGAGCGATGTGACTTTGTTGGCTGCCGGTGGGAGGGTGAAGTTGACTTTCGTCATATTGGTTGTGATTTTATCTCTACCTTTCCCGGCTAGGTAATGATAGGATATGAGCGGGCTGTGGATGGAAGAATTATACGTGGACTGACTGATGGCAACGAGACATGGTAGAGTTACATAGCATTCGGTCACCGCCGAGGCATTCGTCCCAAGAGTTGCATGCCTGGATAGTCGCCCACACTGTGATTTCTTTACCTATAATCTCTGCTGAGAGATTTATCGTTCTGTCAATGCTGGAAGGGTCCTTGGTGGTACCTAGCAAGGACTTGCTTGAACGGTCGAGTACATCTCCGGCTTGTTCTAGATGAATCGCAATGCGACTGACAGGTGTCAAACGGTCTGGTCATCGTGTATTGGCTGTTAGCATGTGTCGCGACAGGAAGTGTGAGAGATGCGCAACGCGCACGACCCGCCCACTGCACCGATGATGGTTCTCCCGCGTCGCAATAACGCTCTCTGATAAGCGTTAGAGAGCTTTCTTGGGTGTTCGCGTAGTCCGAAAGCGCCTGAGGCATTATTTGATCACATATCATTGCTGATAGACTAATGTGCCGCATGGGACACGGCGCGATGGAGTGTGTAGATCCCCCGCAGGATGGCTTGCATCGAGAGGACGCGTGTCGCTCCTACTATGATGGGCCAGTATAGTAATCGCCGGATAGATCAGATGGCGCGTCATGTATATGACAGCGGGAAGTCTAATGGATCTTTGCCATTGGGAATGTCATGACGTGGTGGGTGCAGTGGCATACCATGGGGTTTTTGGAGAAAGAAAAAAACTCTGTTCAAATCAATGACAAGACACGACAGTTTACAGGTGCGTGTTTTAGACGTCGATATGATATGTCGACAACAAGAGTGTGGTGATGGCGGGTGAAAGGCGGTGGTGATGTCAGACATGCCCGAGCGCTAACTGTCGAGGAGTCGCGATTCGACGCGTTGGCAAGGCATGTCGGCCAACAACACGCAATCCCCTTAACCACACGCCATGGCCTTTACCGCGCTCAACAACAAGCCGTCGGCACCCATAGTACCCGTGCAAACTCCGCCTGCACCTGCACCTGCGCCTGTACCCGCGCCAGCTGCCCCGACTCTCGCACCGCATCCACAGGAAATTGATGTCGCTTTCGCTAGCAACCATGAGCTGCGGAAGCGCGTACACGCCGCGATAGGTATGTGGCCTCTATTCGACTCCCGACTATTACTAATTTCCTCCCAGATCAGAACCCCGCGCAAAGTACTCTTTTCCGCGACATTTCGACTTACATTCTTAATCAAACTTCGCAACCTGCTGCCGAGCCAGCAACAAAGAAACGCAAGATCGAAGAGAGCAACCCCCCACAGAACGGCGCATCAGCGTCAGGAGGTAGTCTCACAAGTACTGCAACGAAAGCATTCAAAACATACCCAGCCGTCAGCGTCGCCATACCCCAGCGAAAGAAGTTCAATCTCGAACTGCTCGACAAGAAGGATGGCGGCATAAGAGCCGTAGGCGCCAATGGCAATGTCGAATTTGCCATTGCGTGGAAAGACGTCGACCAGGTCTTCTGTTTGCCTATACCCGAGAAGGCCAAGAAGCAGCACCATTTCATCGTCATACCACTACACGGTGACGGAGTGGCGCCCGTGCCAGACGAATTAAAGGCCTCACCACCAGAGCCCATAGTATGGACGTTCGAGGAGGCGACAGGCAAGAACATAGTCGAAGGCGAAGATCCAGGACCAGGACCCATGGCTGAGGCGATTCATCATTGCCTGATACAAGCTGGGACAGGAAAAGAAGTCGTCTTCCCAGATGCCGACGAATTCGCCAGCGCTGTACCAGAAAGTCACAGGAAGGGTGAGAAGGCATACCACGTCAAGGCACACAGGGGAAGCAAGGAAGGTGCGTCATACACACGAAAATCACGACCCAGAACTTCTGCTAACATGCTCTAGGCTACCTGTTCTTCACCTCGGTAGGTATCCTCTACGGCTTCAAGAAGCCTCTCGCATTCTTCGACTTCGCCGCTATAAACAGCATATCCTACACCGCCGTCCTGCGCAACACCTTCAACATCGTCTTCACCACACCAACAGGCGATATCGAATTTGGCATGCTCGACCAACAAGACTTTGCCGGCATAAACGAATACGTCCAGAAACACGGGCTGCAAGATGCTAGTCTGGCTGCGGACAGACGCGCAAAGAAGCTTAACGTAAACAAGGTGGGCGGCAAGAAGGAGAACGGAGCGGCAGTAGAGGAGGCTGCCGGTGAGGAAGAGGAGAGCGAGCTGCAGAAGGCCGAGAGGGAGTTGCAGGACCAGGAAGACGATGAAGAAGAGGACGATGACTTTGACCCGGGAAGTGAGGGCGAGAGTGAGGGTTCAGGCTCTGACAGTGAAGACGAAGATGGCGAGGGGGGAGGCTACGAGGAGGGCGACACAGCCGAAGTTGAGTATGATGAGGCTGGTGGCGATGAGGATGTTGATGAGATGGAACACTAGTTATGTTTCACGCATGAGTACGCGTGCGAGCGAGATACCGCGCTCTGCCAGGTTCTATATGAGCTCCTCACCGTACACAGCGTCCTCCAAACTAAAGTGCATGCACCTCACATTTCCCTCTCAGTCTGCCCAAGTACATCGTTTAAGAAGACGAGAATCATGACGCTCACTTCTCCGAATCCGCATCCCTTCTTTTTATCGTTGCGGCTGTCTTATGATACTACTGTCTCAACAATTCAACACTGCCTATGGGAACACTACCAATCATACAATGGTATATACTTGGACGTGCGCGCAACATGATCCACGTGTCTGATTCCTGGGTCCCTCGCATTGTTAAAGCCCATGCGAGTGTGCGTCTTCTAGTTGCATGCCGCGCAGCGTAGTTCCCAGTATTCCTCACTAGACTCGAAATCGTCAGTGTATTGTGCATGCTCTACGGGGAGATGGGGAGATGAGCTCAAGCTCTTTGAATCGGGTGCTGGCTCTGTGACGTGGCTGGTCTGCGATCTTAGCGGTGAGGTTCAGACTTAGCCAGAGAGTGCAACTGAAACGCTACAGCTACTCAACACTGAGGAAAACGAGTTCGCCACCTGCAACCTGAACACGAAGCTTGATACCCTTATGCTTCTGTGTCTGGTGCTATTGCGACTTAGTTGCCATAGAACTGGATATGCCAAAGTCTGAAGCTGTCCTGGAGTATCGAAACGTGCATTGCAGACTTTTCAGTCGAGCTAAAATAGTTTGGGCAAAGGTCATGAGATATCCTACTCCTGTCGTTGTTTGAACATCATGTCTTGTTCACCTTCCTCATGTCGTCGCATATCCACTCTCCGATCCTCCTAAGTCCGTCTTTTAGCTTTTCCTCCCTCTTCGGACTTTACACTAGCTAACACCCGTTGTCCTAGAGTAGGAGGCTGTGGTTATCGGGTTATCAAGTCCAACTGGGGATGACTTCCTCTTCCCATCGTCGCATCTCTGCCCAAAGCAAGAGCCGCTCGATCGAACCACGTAATGCCTTCGCCTCTCCATGGATCCACGTGGTACGGATAGCTGTTCAGAAGAAGAAGGTGGAAAACCTACTCATCGAATACGTTGAATACGGACCTCGCGTACAGAGAAGCACCGTCAAGCCGACCTCGGGATCGAAGTGCGGAGGATCAGAGACCACGACGATACTGGACATGGTGTTGAACCTCGTTTGCGTCGATCGCGGCTAAAGGCAGCTTGACTCCACTACGGCCGTACCCATTATGTAGTTTTGTCCGTGTCTGTTGTCGTGAAGTGGCTCTAGAGTCGTGGCGCAGCAAGCCAACCATGTTGAATCGCACACTATTACATATTCCTGTCACCGGATAATTCATCCTTAGTAATTACCCCAGGTTTTTGTCGGGCCTTTTCCGTATGGTATATTGTAGTTTGAGATGGTTTCGGAAATCAATTCCTCCAAGAAACTTGGGTGAGGCAGTGCAAGATGGCAGCACGTGATTAATGATACTACTGCCCAGCCGGTGAAAAAAGGGCCTTTGTCGGTCTGGAGAAAATCACTGAGTCGAGCTGAACGGCGAAGACATCGTGAATCATGCGAGAAAACAAAATCATGCACAATTGCACAAAACACAGTCAGAAAGCAAAATATGCGAACGTGAAACACTTGCTGTGTAAGATCGGGGCGCTCACCTTTGGTGCCACAACTCAATGTCAAGCCTGCTGATTGCATCAACAAAATGCAATCCAGTCATCTCGATGAGATATCGATAACATTTCGTCTACGTATGCTGAAAGGATGCAGTCAGCTTGGCATCGTGATACCTCGGTGATTCTCTCCAGGAAACGCCGATGGTGTTGATTTTACTTCCTTGATTCCAAGGCTTCTGTCATAGCTGACGCGGTCGGGCAGGGCTGAGGCTGCAAGCCACCACTGCGCCTATCGAGACAGATGCAGCGCCACGTGAAACCGGAAAATGCAGCTGCAGATGCACTGCAGAGTAATCCAAGCAGGAACCAACTCGATAATAGTAGCTATAGCACCGGGCACAATAGACCGTAATATGTGGAAATAGCCGAATCTCGCAGTAGTCTAGGAGTAATTGGAACGAACGATAGGGGTAGGCAATTTCAAGGACTGCCCTGAGTCCAAGGTCTTGTAGAAGGCTGTCCAGATCGATGAGCACGAAGGCATCGAGGTCTGGATCTGAATGCAGATTGCTGACATGTCTTGGAGTGCGGAGTGGGAGTGTTGAGAGGCACCAAGTTGCGGCTTCGACGATGAAACGTGCGGCACATCCATGAGCAGGGACCCACAACGGCAAAGAGTACCAAGTCCGTCCTCTCAGGGCTTCGCTACTAACTCACTCGTTCATCACCCGCACGCGAACCAACATGCCCGCCTTCGCCAACGTGCCCCAGCATCGGGACATTACTTTTGCAAAATACGCGACGTGCTATTCGCCCGGGTGCGAGTTACTTCATTGTCCCTGCACATAGCCACCCCTACGCGTAAGGCCAAGCAGCGCCGCCGTTAAGTCCGCCAACCCTCACTGGTATCACGATAAGCCTGCAACCATGCTCGCTCGGGTATCTCACTGTTCGCGCCTCATGGCGTTTGTGACGCGTACCTCTTGCACAAGTTGTGTTGTCATGTCCTGAGGTTGTTTGCGGTCTGCCCAGCCGGTGACGGGTCTCCGCAAAGCCGCCGCATTCGGCCAGCATTGCCCAACCACGCATCAGCAGTAATACCGCTGGTTCAACTGTGCCTACAGATACCTACTCACCAAACTAAGCCAAGTGTGTGTACGTAGACCATGCTTCTGTCAGCATCTGTCTTGGGGCTTGGGTGGTACTTCTTGGAAGGCGGACGATCCGGTCTCCACCATCTATAAACCTCTTTGTCCACATCCACCAAGAAATATCTGATAGAACATCACTTACTCAAGTTCAAAACACCTTGTCTCATTGGTTCGTTGGCTCTCCTACCCTTACGCCAAATCAATAGCTTTGTCATCTACCTTGCTTTAGGGACGCCTCTCAAGCCACTTCAGCCGGGCGTCACTAGCCTCGAAGCGTCGAGCCCTTTGACATCTCTTACTTCAATTTCCTTTCAACGTTCTTCAGGGCCATCAAAAATGAGACGCAATACTAAGACGTCTGCTGTAGGCCTATTGGCCTTGGGTAAGCCTATTGCCATAGCCGAGTTGTACTATAGCACTAACCACATCTAGCCTATCGTGCCTCAGCCCAAGTTGCCAATACCAGTCCCTCGGACGGTGTAACCTTTGGGCTCAACATCCCCGAAGCAACAGCAGCATCCTCCGATGCTGGAGAGATCTTTTTCTCGATATCTGCATCGAGCAGCTATGAGTGGGTTGCGCTCGGTCAGGGTAGTGGCATGGCCAATTCCAACATGTTTGTTGTATACACTTCAGCAGATGGCAATAACGTGACATTATCGCCACGAACGACAAGCAGCTATAGCGCCCCTAGCCCTAATGATGCTGCGCAAGTCACGCTACTTGAAGGCTCTGGTGTCTCGAATGGAGTCATGACTGCCAACGTGAGATGTGAGTATTATACTCCTTCATACAACTCGAACATCCATTGACATGTAATTCAGGTTCCAACTGTAACAGCTGGTCCGGCGGCACCATGGACTTTACCTCCAACAGCGGCAACTTCATCTACGCCTACCAATCCTCAGGGGGTCCCAAGAACGATGACTCTACGTCTGCATCCATCCGCCAGCACAGTAGCGAAGGCGTCTTCAATTGGGAGTTCGCTGCCGCTAAGGGAGGCTCAAGTGTAAACCCCCTTCTCAACACCTCCCCCTCCGGTACCACCGGCGGATCAGGCGCAACTCCGACCAACTGCCGCCAACGCCCTTCTGGCGCCGCAGCAACAGCAACAGGATCAGGGTCAGGATCATCAGCCAAACCCAGCAAGACCGCCCCCTACGATGATGACGACTGGTGGACTGGCCGACCGACTGCGCGCCCAACATCCTGGCCTACCGGCGCACCATGGGATAAACGTCAATCCGACGACTCCTCACTCCCCTACTGCGATACGCTTCCCAACAACGGCGGTGCCAACTCTGGCGTCACAACCATCTCCTCCAGCGAACCCAACACGAGGAAACACCTCATCGCCCACGGTGTCCTCGCCTCTCTCGCATTCGTCATCCTCTTCCCCGCAGGATCCATCGCCATCCGTCTCGCTTCCTTCCCCGGCGTTCTCTGGTTTCACGCCTTGTTCCAAATCTTCGCTTACATGACATACACTGCTGCGTTTGGTCTAGGTATCTGGCTCGCTCTACCAGTCAGTGGCGGTCACTACATTGACAGCTACCACGCCATCATCGGCATGCTCGTCTTCGCGCTCATCTTCTTCCAACCAATCTTAGGCTGGATGCACCACGTCCTCTTCAAGAAGTACAGTCACCGCACTCTCTGGTCCTACGCTCATATCTGGGTTGGTCGCATCGCAATAACCCTCGGTATCATCAACGGTGGACTCGGCCTGCTGCTTGCGGGTAACTCGCCTGATGGTGAGATTGCTTACGGCGTTGTTGCTGGTGTTATGTGGGTTACCTGGGTTGCTGCGGCGATCTGGGGCGAGATGAGGAGGAAGAAGGCAGCGAAGTTGGCGGAGCAGCAGAGGCCCGAAAAGCTTACGGGCGAGAGGAGGCAAAGCGATAACAGCAGGAGTGATGGGAGTGACACGGATCTGAATGGGCACTACAGGCCCGCTAAGGAACAGCAGGCATGAGTTGCCTAGGCAGAGACGCGGTTTCTGATTCTGGTGTCTGGAGTAGTGTACCGAAAAGGAAGAGCGATGTACATGATTAGGCGCAGGTAATTTCCTTTATTTGTCCGTTTGAGCGAAGTATACCAATCATGTTTTGCACCTCAACAAGCCATGTCCATTCCGATCTCGTGATGACTCGATTGCAAGTATTCTGAAACACGAACTCGGCTTTTGCCATTGCAATGTCATTGCACGATGAAAAAATTCTTAGAATCACCGCCTCCCCATACCCAACACTCTACTCGCTGCTGTGCTAACCTTGATCACATCCCTATAAGTTAGGCTCACTCTTGTACCTCTGAGATTACTGCCACCATCCCTAGCAATCGCATCTTTTCCTTCCTGACTCAATAATCCCCAATTCGCCACCGTTCCCTCACTCAATTCCTCATCAACCTCAATTGACGAAATACCGTGCATCAGCTCCCGATACGCACAACCCGTCGTGATGAGCAAGGAGCGGGGTTCCTGAAAAATACGTGTAGGTAGGTGCAACATTTTTTCTTGCCGGTTGTCCTCGTTTCTAGTAGGTGAGGATTGCTCGATTTCCTGCCTCTCGTTCCTATCCTTCTTCCCATCTCCTTGCCCCTCATTATCCCCATCCTGCTGTCCTTCTTCGTTGAAGGAAGATTGTGGTTTAGGAAGCACGTCCAAGCACAACCCCGCACCTAAACTGACAGTCGCAACGACATGGGCATACGCATCTCCGTCTTCGTGCGGCATGATGCCTTCACCGGGTCTATACTCGTTGACGAGAACATGGTTTGGCTGGCCGTGCGGTGTGTGGTCAAAGATTCCTAGGTCTTTGAAGCGAGATAGGATGGGGTTGGTGAGGTAAGCGGGTAAAGGGGCGGCGAGCAAGGTATTGTTTTTAGTGAGAGTGGAGGGCAGAGCCTGGAGACGCCGATGAGTGAGGTGTGTCCATCTCTGAGCTGGAATCTAGGAATATTAGTTACATAAATATAGTTTTTAAGAGTAGTGCAGTGAAGATGTTTAGGTGTGTTGATTGTTCCATGGGCTGTTGTGAGGGAGCGAATAAGGCGGGGTAGTTAGTAGTAGAACTGCAAGCTTTGTGTCTGCAATCTCATGCGTTGGAGAATAGAAAAAAGAATTGGGAATTAGGGCGAAGAGAAAAACGCACCTTCTGCACTATTGACGATTCTTCTTCCGCGCTGATGAAATTTGGAATGTAGTAGAAGTCTGGTGGTAGACCCGCGATGCGAAAAGCCTCAAGGTTAGTCTTGGAAATTCCCCATTGATCATCCATGTTTCCTTTTCGACTGATGTGAGACTGTTACCAGCAGAAATGAAAGCCTTGCTCTTTCGCAATGATATGTCGAAGTTGAATGAGCGATTGTTCGAAGATGATGTAATGCAGAGCAAACGCGCCGCTAATTCGAGCTAGTCGCGCGCTCACGTGCAAACAAACATTTTGATGTAGGGCCGCGAGCTGCAGCATGCTTCGACTCAAGATTACAAAATGGGACTTCTTGACTGAGAGTGAATGAAGATGGATGCATAACTATGTAACATGCAACATGTAGAGATCTATGAACAGTAGAAGAGTAGCCGCTCCACAACTCCAGATACCCATGCTAATATCAGGACTATTTCCAACGCTCATACTCACCCAAGGGGAGGAGCATCAGATCATTCTGCAACGTATTCGAGCCATATGCAACATCGCTGCATCAACCCACAAGTCTGGGGCCCACTTCTATCCCAAGAAGAAAACGCTATATGACCCCGCCGCTGTAGACACCAAAAAAACACATTCACATCACAGTGCAGCCACCTGGACCACTTCGCGCACGGCGACGGCGGCCGACACCACCAGTAGCACCAGCACCGCCTTCCTCCTCATCCGCATGCATCATCTGCGCTTCCCTCGCTCTCCTTCTCCGCCGCCTAGCTCCAGCACCACCAACACCTGCTTCCTCATTTAGCATCATCCAATCGGCCCACTTGCGTTCCAAACGCGCGGCGGCAGCAAAATCACCCCTCAAGACACGCTTGGTGTGTTCCTCCACCGTAGGTTGCCAGTTATGGAAGCACTTGAGCTTGATAATCTCACGTGGATACGTCGCGACTTTGCTCGCAGAGCGCGAAGAAGGACGTGTGATCTCTGCATTTCGAGATAGGACTTCGCGAACACCGGTCCATGTTACATTTGCGCAGTCATATGCTTCGATGCGAAGACCAACCTCTGGGCGCTCTGAGTTGGTTAAGCCACGAGCGGCGCGGTTGCGGTTGCGGAGGCCTGATGCGGCTTCTGCGAGGACGAGGTCGGAGATGCGTGTGTTATCCATGTCAAGTGATGCGAGACGGGTGCAGGCTTTCAGTATGGGGAGCATGCCCGCATCCCCTAGGTTTTCGCAGTAGGAGATGCAGAGGTGTCGCAGATGAGGGGCGCATGGAGCTTCAGCGAGTGTCTTCAGGACTTCGTTGGTCAATCCGTCGATCTCTTCAACATCTAGATGCGTAAGAACTGGCACAGTAGGCAGTAAGCTCATTAACGCATCATCGGTGAGTCCGCCGCATTTCGAGACTTGGAGGCCTTCTAGATATGGCACGTTGTGTACTAACGTCTTTAGGCCGGTATCGGTGATACTGCGGCAACGAGTAAGGTTCAGGTGCTTGAGGTTTCTAGGTGGGACGATTGGCCGATCGGTAAGGACGTCGACCTCTTCGTCTACGCCCTCGATCAAAGCAGCCAGCGCTTCATCATTGAGACTGTCGCAGTTCTTGAGGTCGAGCCTTTCTAGAGTGTTTCGCTTGAACAATTCCACCATCAGGTCGACGTCGTCCCAGCCTCGTACTTCACCAGCTCTGATGTCTCGCAACTTTTTACAACCTTCGACAACCTTTTTCAGCCCACGGTTGTCGATGTTGTTACACCACGAGATGTTCAAGACTTCGACTCTTGGGCAGTGTGCGGCCAGGATCTTCATCGCTGCATTCGTTGCGCCTGCGAGACCCGAGAGATTAACGTGAACGAGGCGGCTGTTTTGAAGTAGGAAGCAGTGGATAGACGTCCGATCAATCCGGCATCCCTGTAGCGAAAAGTTCTCCAGGTTCTGGCAGGACTCTATAAAGCCATCCTTGCCCCAGTGTTCCCTCAGTTGTACGCAGCCTCTCAAGTTCAAATCCTTGACAAACGGACCCGCCGATGTGATGATGTTGACCAGAGCGTTGGCTGAGATGTCGCGGTAAAAGTTGCTCGTATCGAGATCGCTCCACAGCTGACCGTCGAAGCACATGGTATGCCACGATTTGGAGACGCGCGAACATCGCACAATTTCCTTGGGTTCGAGATATTTGAGAATCTGCATGCGAATCTCGGTGGGCATGTCGCCCCAAAAGTTGAAGTTGGCTCGTCTCTGGACCTTGCGTACAGGCCGCGAGAAGTAGTCGCTCTCGGCCTCGGTGCCATCCCGGGTGAAGGGTCGTCGTGCCGAAGGGAGAGGTACCGAGGATGGAACGTCTGGTGTCTTCATGCGTAGGCGGGTCCTCTCATCCCAGAAAGGAGTGCCGGGCGGGCTGTTGGCTACGGATGTTGGTGCCGTAGAGTAACCATTCGACAGTTCTGACGAATACGAACTGCCAAATGAGTTTCCATACGGCGAGCCAGGCGATGCAAGAGAGACGCAAGACATGGATGCCTTTCCGCCGCTTCTCAGACTGTGTGAACGAGGTCTGCCCATGTGTGCTAGGCTATTGGAAGACGCCATGCGTTGTAGGCCCATGAACAGACGCTGTCTGCCCTTCATCTTTGGCTGCTCGATCATAATGGCGTCTGATGGAGGAGTTTCCGGCGAGGGGTTCACTTCGCCATGGTCGACGACCACGGAGTCGATGGATAGCGGCTCCATGGTGAGGCGTGGCTGTACGGTGCGCGGTGCTCGGCGATGAATGGTTGGGCGCGGGGAAGGAGGGTGCTGTCAATGTCGAGAACTTGACCAGGATATCGTCACGACTGCAGGAGCAAGATGGCAGGCAGAGAAGGTGGGAACAGTCCCGTACCAGCAAAAAGGAACAAGCGCAAGAAAGCTGACGCCGACCCGGCGGTTGGGTGCGCGGTTTTTGATAGCTGAGCGGATAGCGGAATGGGGCAGTTCCAGTCTAGAAAGGCGAAAGGCGGGGAGCATGGCCCGTGTCATGCGGCGAGCGAGCGAGGCAGGCCGATCAACAGCCCTTCGGTTCAAGAACGATCTTGAGCCGTCAGCTAGCAAGTCGACCGAGAGCTGACTATAGCGTGTAACAAGATGACGCGAAGGATGCCAGCAGCAGCGACGTGCAGCGTCTTTCATGTGCTGCCACTGCTGTCGTCCAATGTCTTATCGTCGCTATCAGAAGGCCCGATTGGAACGGCGCCACGTGCGAGATCTCGGCGGTCACCAGCGCACCTCCAAAGAGAGACATTGGTCGCTTGACCTGTCTCACAGCATCGCGTGAGCGGATAAGAGCCTCTGCTTCTCTGGCCATGATATAGTATTGCAAACCGCCATCGCGCAACAAGAAATGCAGGGAGCAGCAGTCGGCTTTCAGGGTCGGTTCTCCATGCTGCAGCAGTTGGCTTTATGCAGGGACTCCCCAGGTTGAGAAGCAGCATCCTCTTTACGCCTAGCTGATGTTCACGTCCCGCCACAAGGATCCAATTCCGCCAATCTGCCCGCCTTCTAGATGCAGAGGCTCCGCCCAGGAACTTCTCGCCCCATGCGCCAGGCAAAACACGTCTTTAGGCCCAACGGCACATGGCCCATCCGTCTTGATTAGGTGTCGGTTGGTCTGAATCTCCACGTTCCCGGCATGGCGGGCGAGGCTTGCGAAGAACTGTGCCGTAAATCTTTGGCTTCGGCCTGTCGACTACATTTGTAGCAACATAGCTCAAAACTGTAGTACGTTCTTTATAGTAGGAATTATATACTGGACAAGTCATGCATGACTGTGGGGCGAGCTCAGAACGCTTCCAGTACCTGTACAAATAATACTAATCTCTCCAAGGCTGCTCCAACTCCTCATTATGCCTTCGTCTCCCCACCCTCCGCCATCAAATGCTTCAAAAATTTGCCATGTGCTCCTGGCCAGTTTTCCTCGCATTTCCCCTTGACTGTTCCAACCAACATCCTATTTGCCTTGATCTCTACGTCCTCCACTAAACTCCATTCACTGTCCTCGACGCCCTCAGCCCTGTCTGCCTCCTCCAAAGTGTCCGTCCTCAAGCACCTCCAAGTGGTCCGTTGCGTTAGTCCCAGCGGCGCTTTGATGATCCACAACACTCCATCATCCAGATCCGTCATATGCGCGTCAAACTTGACAGTTGTGTCCCACAGACCTGCGGGAAGCGCATTCATGTGGTCGGTGATTCTGTAGCATTTGGCTGCTGGGGTGGAGGGGTCCGAGGGGAGCGTTTCGTGAGAAGCATATTCAGGGTCGAGACGGATGAGGAGTTCGTGGTTGTGGAGCTGGGAGACGGCGCTGGCGAAGGAGATCGACCGCGGGAGGTGAGTTACGTGGTGGAGGGTTGCGGTTGTGTTCAGAGCTGCTGTTCATTAGAAGGAGAAAGTTGAGGAAGAGCAGAAATCCTACAAAACATGGCTGATGGGTTGGCCTGTTAGCTGGATCGAGGATGTATGTGAAGCTTGTGGTATGAGGGTTGTTTTCGCGCGGACTTTCTTCTATATGACGCCAATCGCAACTCGTGTTGTAGTGTTCTAGATTAAGTTGTGTAGATCAAAAGCTAGAGTCTGGGATGGGAGGAACAAGAGAAGCAAGGGATATGTATGTCGTGAGTGAATTGATGATGCTCCTACAGTTTCATGGGAATAAGCGACACGTCTCAACCAACAATGACCTCAAGGCACGAATCAGGACTATGTTAGGCTCGGAAGTAACCTGCGAATCCCCCTGGGGCTAATACGATAGCATATGCAGAGAATACCGTCCTGCGGCTCAGCTGAACACATCTGACCTATGGCGTGCATCGGAGCGCGGAGCTTCATCAGAAGCCATCGGACTATCGGAGCCCGGATTAAATAAGAGCCGGGCGTCGCGTAGTTGCTCCACTTGAAGCTTGTAACGAAACCGAATGCATAATCCTCTATCTAGCCACATACAACCGAAAATTCCCCTATTTTCTTCTCTCTGCTACTAGACTAGAAAATTCGTCCAGCGACGCTGTCTGGAGGATTTCGAAGATGCTGACTTTGGCCTTGACAACGCTACCCAACCAGTTCCGAAAATCTACAGCAACCAGAGAATCAACGCCAATGCTTGTCAGAGCATCACCAGTGTCGATGTCACTCTTCTCCAAATTGAACAACTCGGCAACCTTGGCTACCAGTAGGTCCACGATGACCTCCTTTGACCTGCTTTCGGACAACGATCCTGTCGACAACTGAGACACCAGGCCATCGATGTTCTTCGATGATTCGGACTGTGAATGGACCGAGGCTTCTGTCGCGGTGGCATCGCCCAGTCGCAGAGTTCCCAATCGGCGGTCTTTCCTCACCGCTGGATCATCCACTAAATTGCGGTACCCAGAAATACAGGTAATGACCTGGCTGTTCTCGGTACGGCGTCGGTTTGGATTCCTGATTGCATCTTCAAACAGTCGCAATACATGGGCGATGGGCAAACACTTCATGCCAAGGGCCTTCTCCACGCGCATCTTCACTGCATCTCCACCTTGTGCGACGTACCCAACATCATCGATTGGACCAAGATCGATTGTCACAGCGGGCAGGCCGAGTGACGTGCGGTATCGCGCGAATGCATCTTGAAACGTACCACCAGCAGTATAGTTACTCTGCGACACGTTACCCAGAACTCCAGTGGCGGAAGAGGTCGTGATGAAGAAATCCAGGCCTGGCAAGTTGTGGTGAAGGGCCCAGGTGCCGGTGACTTTGGGGCCGATAGCTTTCTGCCATTGTTCGAACGTCATGCGCTCAAAGACCGTGTCGTCGAGTATTGCGGCGATTTGAAAAACCCCGCGGATTGGAGGTAGCTCTTCCCTCACTTTCGCCAGGAGACTACGGACGGACTCTCCATCGGAAATGTCACAGTTGCGCAAGTAGACATTGCAACCGTACTTACTTCCTTCTTGAGCCAACGCCAACCCTTTTGGGTGAGCCACAGCATTGCGGGAGACTATCATCAAATTTCTGGCCCCCTGTTCCATCATCCAATAAGCTGCGGCAAGTCCGATACCTCCAAGACCTCCAATGATCAGATAGGTAGAGTCCGGAGAGTCGAGGCCAAGCGAAGGTTTAGTCTTGGGGATGACATGCACCTCATCATCAGGCTGTGGAAGAATGACAGCACTGCCCAAGTGGCTCCCACCTCGGATATGCTCAAAAGCTTTGTCGATCTCGTCCAGCCGGAAGACTTTGGCTGACGTAGCGAGCCTAGCTCCTTCGTGCTGCAACAACTCAATGGATTCTGCTAATGCCCTGTGGAATATCGTGCCTCTCATATCGCTGTATTGCAGGGTATCAAGGCCTGTCATGGAGACCCCGCGACCAAACGGCGTCATATCAAGGTGCTTCGACTTTTCCAAGTCGGCCCTGCCAAGTTGTATGAAGCGGCCAAATGGGGCAGTACACTCCCAGCATGCCTTCAGCAACGACCCGCCGACAGAGCTCAGCGTCACATCCACACCTTGACCATCGGTCTGGGACATGATAGCAGCAACAACAGAAGCGGCCTCGCTAGGCAAAATATGGCTACTGGAGACGTTGTAATCCTTTAGCAGAACATTGCGCTCTTCACCTGTTTCGCAAGTGACAAAGACCTCGGCTCCGATGTTCTGCGCCAAGGCGAGAGCAGCTCGATTAACACCTGCCGTAACAAAGTGTAATAGCACTCGCTCATGCTTCTGTAATCTTGCGATATTGCGCAAAGCTAACCAAGCGGTCGAACACGCATATGGTGCGGATGCGGCTTCCTCCCAAGTAAGATCGTTGGGAATTTTGACGACGCATGTCCAGTGAGCGCGGCTGACATTGCTTATGGGGCCTCTAAAGATACCGCAGACTCGATCACCAACACATAGCCCGGAATCTTTTGTGTCTGGACCAAGCCTTCTAACGACACCGCTGCCTTCATGAGCGGCCGGATCGTCGTCTTCAATTGCCTCTACTATGTTCAGGCCAAAAGCTTTCGGCTCGATCTCAATCAATCCGCTCGGCAAATCTTCCACCGTGATGGATGTTTCCACAAAGCAGGATCCGATACCGGATACACCGCTGCGTGTTCGTTGAAGCCTCAGTGTTTTGTTGGAATAGCTGAAGTCTTGCAGGTAAGGAGGTTGGCCGCCTCCACTAGCAGCCCTATCCTGCGCAAGATCTGGATACAGACGAGGAACATACAGCCCTTGGTCTTTCACAGAATATTCCCAGTCCAAGTTGGCATTACCGGATGGGCTATAGTCGAAACTCTGCTGCAAGACGTGCGCCAGCATGTGCAGTGTTTCTGTTGGCCACGATTGCTGTGGTCGCTCACATGCCAATCGAACATATCGCTTACTTGGATCTTCGCGTCGCAGAGTCCTAAACAGACCAGCCATCTGAGCAAAGCGTGGATCCTCGTGGTCAACTGCTCCACCAAAGCTTAACCAGAAAATGCCTTTGGAACGAAGCAAGAGATACCGAAGTTTCTCAAATGCTTTGTCGTCCATGGTATCGATGAAGGGTGTATGATGGTCGAGCGCCACGATGAGTAGACGGTCATCATTTGCTTCAACTTCCTCGAAAGTCTCCACTGAGGGCGCCGATCCGGTGACGCGTTGTACAGTACTAGCGACTTGATCTAGCCAGGCCTGCGGTTCCAAAGTTGACGGTACAACGAGAGAAATTGAGGATGGATACAACGGGTCCTGGTTCTTGGCGTGTGTCAAGATGGTGCTGGTAAATTGGACTTCAGGATCTTCGCAGTCTCCAATCTCAAACTCTATGCCAGTAAAGCCCGCTGCTTTCAAAGCCTCATCCCACACATTGAGGTTGACGTAAGGGCATGTTTGGCGTTCAGGCTCCTCGCTCAACCACCATTTCTCCACGGTCCCGAAGATCAACTGAACATCGAGCGAATCTTGGCTTCCTTCAAGTAGAACAAGCTGACCTCCCGGCCGTAGTAGCTTGCGGACATGCGATAAAGTACGTTTCAAGCTTGTCGTCGCATGTAGCACATGTGAAGCCACTACAAGGTCGTAACTCTGACCTGCGAAACCTTGTTCTAAAGGATCTTGCTCTATGTCGAGCTTGGAATAGCTCATCTTGTCTTCCCAAGCCGCAAACTTGGTCTTCGCAGCACCGAAAAATCCTGAAGAGATATCCGTGAAGTCATAGTGTCCGAGTAGTGTAGCACCTTGCCCCTCCTCCGATCGGGCGGCGAAAGCATCCAAAACGACGGACGTTGCTCCGCCAGTCCCGCCACCAATCTCGATAACTTTGGCACCAGGCTCTACGACAGAGTAGAGCTCAACCACTTTTCGGAGGTGCTTGTAAGAGCCGTTGCGTAGTTGCGGTAGTTCTTCGTAGTAGCGATTGAGAAGTCCGCCTTCCATCATCAGCTCCAAAGGTGTCAGTTTGCCCTGGATGATGTCACACAAATGGTTTCCAATGCGATGGACCATTTCTCCAGACGCATTCGCTGACGCCACTTCAAGGCAAAGGCTTTGGATGAAAGTCTCGCTTCTCCTAGACCACGAGTCACTTCCAGACATCAGAGTACCGTTATCGGCTACCTGGATGACTGTACTCATCCATTCGAAGAATCTCTTGTGATACCAAGTCCACTTATCGCCCGCCTTTGCTCCCAGCTGCTCTAGAGCTCTAGCGATATGGTGGTAAGCGACTTCGCGGACGTTTCTGGCGAATGCTAGCTCAGGCTGGGTCAAGAAGATCTTCATTGACTCTCTAATACCACCTGGGACTGTGTAATTGGTATCCAGTTCCCATCGGCTCTTTGAATGAACCGGTGGATGCGACGCCTTTGCATCTTGCGCAGTCGCTGCCGCTTGGGTGACTCGTTGGAGACGGAATTGCTGGATCTCAAACATTCCTGTCTGGCGTTCGCCAGCAATGACACAGTCATTATCTCCTACTGCGTATACGAGACCTTCGAAAAGTGACCCCTTAGGACTTGACGATAGACCGTTCAAATTTGCGAACAGCCTTTGGCCTGCATGTGTGCCGAGCTGCGAAGGTACAGTAACCCTTCGTATCGATCGAGGGATAAACATCGCGTCTTTTGTAAGATCTACAGGCAGAGTCGCATAGCAGCACTGGAAAATTGAGTCCAGCGTCGTTGGGTGTATCACGTATTGCTGTTCGCGTTCAAAGGCCGCTGGAGCAACAGAGAATTCTGTTTCCGACCTTTCACCAGCAACGCGACTGCCGATGATGTTCTGGAACGTTGGACCGTGTTGGAAGCCTGAGTCTCGCAAACGCTGATACAGAGTCTCGGGCTCTATCTTCTTGGTGTGCTCCGATCGGGAAGATTCTAGGCCAGGCATAATTTTGGGTGTTTCCAACAGAAGTGAGCTATTGGCTGCTTTGGCCGAAATGCCGCCCTTGCAGTGCTGTATCCAGGAATGTT